AAAAAAAAAAAAAAAAAAAATCCAGACTTCTCTTTAAAAACTAAAAGATTTTGTAACAATAAGTTGGCATTTTCAAATGACAACTACTGGCTAGAGTTGAATGGGATATACCCTTTTACATGGGGTACCCATTCAGTTGGCCATTGTCCTCCACATTCCAGCAGTCTTGCAACCTAGCCTGCTTTATTTATTTACAGTTCTACTCTAGACTCTGATTTAAGAATCTTTGCCTATATTTCACCAAGTGCTTCCAGTGTTTTCATGCTGGATGACTCATGCCAGATATAAATGAAACAATTCTATTCTCACAGCCACCACATGGCAAAGCTTAACCACCAAAACCTCAGTATGGGGTCATACTCATTACAGCATTCATGACAAAGCAAAAATAACAGCTCAACATAGTAAAGTGGCAGGCAGAAGAGAGAATGGAGTGAGGCTGTGGCTGAGTATGGGACTGCAGAAGGAAAAAGGTCTATACCTATCTCTTGTTAAGCCCTTTTTCTCCTTACCAATAGCAACAACAATTTCAGTCTCATCAATAGAAAAAGAAAAAAAGGGTACTCTCACATGAATGAGAGGAAAGATCTTTAAATATCTTAGTTCTAAATACAGAAATAGCTTTATTGGACTTAAAAAGTATTAATAGGAAGGCCTATGATCAATATAACACATTGCTAAATCCTTTATGCTGGAGTTTAAGTTTTTTCTCTGTTGATAAATCGTCTTCCCTGCATTACCAGTAGCTTTGTATTAAACTCTAAATAGCGACCAACTCTGGTTACCTGGCAACAGCCTCAGCAACAGCAGTAGATCCATTTTTTCTTTCACCAGATGCAGGTTCTGAATAAAAACAAATCAAGGAAAAAAGGAAAGAGAAACAGAATTCAGTTAGTATCATACTTAAAAACCTTCACCCTGTTCTACTAGTATTTGCAACAAATAACAAAAAGAAATAGAAATAAGACTAATAAATAAACATAAAAAGATTTCTTGTAATTTTTTTTCTTTTTTTGAGACATTGTCTCACTCTGTTGCCCAGGCTAGAGTGACGTGGCGTCAGCCTAGCTCACTGCAACCTCCAACTCTTGGGCTCAAGTGATCCTCCTGCCTCAGCCTCCCCAGTATCTGGGACTTCAGACATATACCACCACACCCAGCTAATTTTTCTATTTTTCTATTTTTTTTTTAATAGAGACAGGGTCTCACTATGGTGCTCAGGCTGGTCTTGAACTTCTGGCCTCAAGCAATCCTCCCAAGTTGGGCTCCTAAAATGTTAGGATTATAGGTGTGACCCACCATGCCCAGCCTCTTGTAATTTAATAGTACAAGTTTTTCTTACTTCCACTAATCAAACTTCCTATAAAAGACTAATCAGTTTGGCTGGAAATACAACAGAATGAATTACTAAGCAGTAATATTTTAAAACGAAAACTGGACTTCTCCTGAATCCTAATCCATCTCTTGCCATACAAGAAGTAAAAAAAAAAAAAATTATGTAATAATACAAAATTAAAGATTAAAATCATAAAAATTTAAAAAACAAATTAAAAATAAAAATTTTTAATAAAACATATAGAAAAATATCTTAGGTTGATGCACAAATTTTAAATAGTGTACAGTTTTAAGAGCACTCACCTAAAGTGCTTTAGGACAGATATTTGAAAAATCAAAACACATTTTTCAAAAATCTGCAGCAAAGGTGAAAGAATTAAAGGTAATGCTGAAAAAGAATCCCATATTCTCATAGCAAGGTCACTAATATCAAGGGATTAAAATTTATTCATCTACAATTTATTCTAGCCTTAGATAAAATAACCTTAAATATTTTTTAAACATTTCTAAAATATTCATGAACCAACATAATCTAAACAGTTCATCAAGGAGGCAGCTGAAATTCAGTGGTTAGCACCCTGGCTGTACAATAGAAACCTGTCTCACACCCTGGCTCCTACTTTACATAGACTATATGTAAACTATTTTTTTTGTTCTGAGTCTTAGTTTCCTCATCTCTAAGACATAGATAAAACAGGACCAACTTCATAGGTTTGTTGTGAGGATGAAATGACATAAGTAAAACTGTGAATACAGTGCCTGAACTATGCTCCTAGTATTAGAAAAAGTAGTAATATTTACTGATATGATCATTCTTAACACTTAGCTTCATTTAAAGTCTTCCTAATTGTAATTTCAGAATCAAAGGTAAAGTAAGATACAAGGCTACTACATACTTCGTCTCTTGATAAGCCCTTATTTTATTCCATAAAAGATGACAATAAGGATGGAGCAATGTAGTACTTTAATGTCTACTGAGGTTCTAAGATTCATAATGAGAATCATGCACCGAGAAGCACAACAGCATTAAAGTTTTGGCACCAGACTGCCTGAATTTGAACCCAGGCTACTTCATTTACTAGCTGTGTGACTCTAGGGTAGGTGCTCAATCTTCCTGTTTCCTCATCTGTAAAAGGAGGATAATAGTAGGATCTACTTCATAGGTTTGTTGTGAAATTTAATGAACTATACATGTGAAATGCCTGCAATACAGTAAGAACTCAAAATACATTAGCTAAAATTATTGTTACTTGGTCTCAGAAAATGAGAACTTCCTTTACCAAGTCCACTTACTCTATGTGGTCTTTGAAAGCTTCCCCTCACAACTCTTTCAGGGCCTTGATTCAGCAACTGTTTTCCCATTCCCTCATCTTTAATCTATCCCTATCTTTTGGATCCTTCCTATAACTTACTCAGGCCTCTTTCAGCCTAAAAATAAACAAATCCTCCCTCAACCCTTCATTTCCCTCTGATTTGCCACATTTTCTCTTCCTTTCTCACATGAACTTCTCAAAAGTAGAGAGTTTATTTGCTGCCTCTTCATCTTTTCTCCATCCCTCCTCAATTACTTTCAGTATGACTCTTGCTAGAGTCACCGAATGGATCCTAACAGCCAAAGCCAATGTACCTTTATCAGACATATCTTACTAGACTCGCTCCTATGTCTAACATTGGTATCTTCTTGTAACTCTCCTCCCCACAGGCTTCCATGTCTTCATACTACTCTCCTGGCTCTCCTCCTCTCTCAATGTTCCCTTACAGTCTCTTTTATGAGACTTCTTCCTCTTCTAATGCCCTTAAACAGCTTTTACAAGCTATCTAGTGGAAACATTGTAAGCTTTAGAGTTAGGTCTGACCAAATTCCAGCTCTACCTCTTACCAATTATTGTGACCTTAGGCATATAACTTAAAAACTTCCCTTAGTCTGTCTTATCATCATGAATAAAATAGAAATATAGATAGCTACTCTGGAGCACTATTATGAAAATGAGATGATATAGTATATGTAAAGAGTCATCCTATATCCTCTCCCTTACTTCCATATTCAACTGGCCCCATGAATCTGTCTATTCTATTCACCTCTCAAATTCATCCCCTCATCTCCATCCCCACTACAAATGACCTAACTTCCTGGTTAAAGACTGGGTAGGGCCAGGTACAGTGGCTCACACCTGTAATCCTAGCACTCTGGGAGGACAAGGTGGGAGGATCTCTTTTTTTTTCTGAGACAGAGTCTCACTGTGTTGCCCAGGCTAGAGTGCCATGGCGTCATCCTAGCTCACAGCAACCTCAAACTCCTGGGCTCAAGCGATCCTTCTGCCTCAGCCTCCAGAGTAGCTGGGACTACAGGCATGTGCCACCATGCCCGGCTAATTTTTTTCTATATATTTTTAGTTGTCTGATTAATTTCTTTTTTTTTTTTTTTTAGTAGAGACAGGGTCTCGCTCTTGCTCAGGCTGGTTTCGAACTCCTGAGCTCAAACAATCTGCCCGCCTCGGCCTCCCAGAGTGCTAGGATTACAGGCGTGAGCCACCGCGCCTGGCCAAGGTGGGAGAATCTCTTAAGCTCAGGAGTTCAAGACCAGCCAGAGCAAGAGTGAGACCCCGTCTCTACTAAAAATAGAAAAAATTAGCCGGGCGTGGTGGCAGGCACCTATAGTCTCAGCTATTCAGGAGGCTGAGGCAGGAGGATCACTTGAGCCCAGGAGTTTGAGGTTGCTGTGAGCTAGGCTGACACCATGACACTCTAGCCCAGGTGACAGTGCAAGACTGTCTTAAAAAAACAAAAAAAGAAAGAAAGAAAAGAAAAAGAAAAAGACTGGGGAGTTTGCCAGGCAGAATAGGAAATATAAGGAAAGGAACCATCATGCACAAAGGTTTGAAACACTCAGCTGAATGTTTCAAAATGATCGTATCACTCCCCTGCCTAAAATTCTTCAGCTTCTCAGCATGATGTAAAGGGCCTTTCAGAATCTGGTCCCCACTTTGCAGTCACTTTGTATCTTCTCTGTATTCTAGCCATATAACTAGCAATTCATGTAAGAAAGAGTCAACATAAATCTACAATGTGAATCTACAATCCTAAATTTTCTACCATCTTCTGAACTCTTTCCAAATATGAAAACCCATTACTCTTTATAGACAAGGGTTTAATACAGAAATAAAAGCAGCAACATAGAAACCTTAAAATGGAGCATCTTCAGAAATATAACAGGGACTAGCCAAAAGCAAAGAATTAAATCTATGAGAATAAGACTTTACAAATACATTTATAATTATAAAAATATCAATCATTATAACTAGAATATAACCAACATTTCCCAGATGATCTGGAGCTACTAATTACCCAAGATTAACATAAAATAAAACTTACTTTCCAGGCTAAACTGCAAAGACTCTTCACTTGCCTCAGTCTCAGGACTAACCAGTTTCATTCTTAGACACAATTTATCATCCATTTCTGGGGCAGCCCCAGAATCCCCCTTTTCACTCCCAAGTATGGGATCGTTGGTCTCTACCATGCTTTCAGACATGACATCACTGGCTGCTATGGTGCTTTCTGGATAGTTGCTAATACCTAAAAGAAGTGGGGCAGGGAGGAAGAAAGAAAGAACAGTAAAACAAAAACATGAAAAATAGCAATTCGAGGTCATCAATTTGCCTGCTTGGCTCCACAGCTCTGCAGAATTGAACGGGGTTCCTACAATAGATCCTGTCATAAGTATCAACAACTACGAACTAGTATTGACACCTGGTCTTAAGAGGAGCAACAGGATTCAGTTCCACTTCTGCATCTGGACAAAGGATGCTGCATGAGCCCTCAGCCAACCCACATCTGCCAGCATCAGGCATAGGTAGCAGGAGACTCCAGACGGCATGACTGTTACCTCCCAGCACTGACTAGAGAAAACAAATAGGTTAATGTAGAAGACTACTGGCTGCTTCAGGGAAGGAGAATCTAAGTTTTCTTGTCCTGTCCAGCAGCAGACTGATTAATTAGCCAGGGTACTGAACAAATATTACTTCTACCCTACTTCCTGCTCCTTTCTTATAAAACAGCTTATACCATTTAGCACTCAAATTCTATTGCCTTGCATGTAATATGATAAAATCCTTATATTCTTTTTCTTCCTTCCCTCCACCCTTTCTTTACTTCCTCTCATCACCTCTCATCTCCTGGCAGTAAAATCGTGGAATCAGACACTAAGAGCCCTATTCTTCCTAAGACAAAAATCAACTTTATCAGGCAGGCACAACTCCCCAGATCTAAAATATCACTTGTGTAAAGAATGATATCTCAAAAATGCTGCCTTAAATATCATTACATTTTATTCACTCACCAATAGGAGTACTGTGTCTCTTGGGCTCCAATTTTAGGTGCCCAATAAGAGGTGGGGTTGCACCAGTCAATGGTGGGATAATATCACCTTCTTTAGGCAAAGTGAAATGAAATGGGGTTTCTGGAAAAAAAAAAAAGAAAGAAAGAAAGAAAGAAAAAAACGAAAACAAAACAATGATAAACAAAAAACAAACCAAAAAAAAGTATAAAATACACAAAAATAATGAGAACTACAAGAAATATTTTAATTACTCTTTTCCTTTGCCCCCAAATTCTGTCTCATTCCCACCACCCTCACCAGGCCTCCCAATCAATTCCCTCCTTTTATCTCTGATCTCTTCACAGCCAACAACAGGACTGACACAAAGCAGACAACCAGAGGGCAGGCAAAGAGAGGAAGCCCAAAGTTTGCAGGACCTGAGTAACATGGGGTCAAAAGGAACATAGGAACATCTGAGCTCCAAGACAGTACATTTGGGAATATCTAGCAATACAAAGTTGGACAGTTTCAAATCTAGACGATGTAATTTTTTGCAATGCTAAATAACTCAAGGAGTTCATTTAGAAGCATTAGCAGTTGTAGGATTTGCCAAAGAAAAGTCTGCTGTTAATATTTATAATTTAGAATCTACTCAAAAACGTGACAAAGGATCTCATGGGCCAAAGGACTTCAAAATACTCACTGGTTCTAACAGAATTTCTAAGAGTTTCATGGCTCAGCAGTACTAACCAGCATTCACTCTAGGTCAAAAAAGTTATGTTCATACCTAAATCTCTGCACAATGGTAAATACCACATATATGAGTGCCCCCGGTATACACATTTTGGTTAGTTGTTATTAAATTATCATAAACATAAAACATTTGTCAAGACGTAAAACTGCTTTTTAACTATGTCTAAGTTCCAAATTTTTGCTAATCAGAATTAGCAAATTGTCAAAAATACATTTTCTGATTTCTTATAATCTCTTTTAATAAAATGGTACATTTAGGAAAAAGTAAGAGTGTCAGAATGCCCCTTAAACCTAATATATGATAATTTGTTCTTTTCAGGGATGGCTCAAAATAACTATAATCTGGCACACTCAATCACTACTACTAGTTTGCTTCTTTTTTTTTTTTTTAAGAGCTAGGGTCTCACTATGTTGCCCAGGCAGGAGTAGAATGAAGTAACTATTCACAGGTGTGACCCCACTACTGATCAGCATGGGAGTTTTGACCTGCTCCATTTCCAATGCAGACAAGTTCACCCCTCCTAAGGCAACCTGGTGGTCACCTGCTTCTGGGAGATCACCATATTTATGCTAAACTTGGTGCAGACACTGGCATAGCACACCATGGCCCAGAACTTCTGTAGGATCACTCAAGCAATCCTCCTGCCTCAACCTCCCAAACAGCTCAGACTACAAGTGCATGCCACTGTGTCAGGCATAGTTGGTTTCTTTCATCTTCTATCCTTTATTTTCTTTAATATCAAGCACCCTGATACCTTCTCCCTTCAAAATCACAAATCAACAACGAAAAATCTCTTATATCTATGTGTAAGAGAAAATGAATTAGTAATCTGAGGGGATGGAAATAGAAAACAAAATGGTCTTTAGAAATAAAGGATGAAAGTACATATGCTCAGCTTTGCGTGGAAAATCTTAACATCACATTTAACCGGCAAAGACTTCCACCATAGTTACAGAAAAAAGAAAAATGGGTCAGATAGGTAAGCATTCATTCTTTATACACTCCTTATAAAGCAAGTTCTTAAGCAAATAAAGAACTTAGAAGAGACATAGAAACTAACAAAAAACAAAACAAAAAAAAAAACAACTCACAAAGCCTCATACATTCCAGAGATATGTTTTATAGAATTTTCATTCCTGGAACAATCAAGAATGAAAAACCACCTGCACTGCTCTCGACAAGTACCATCCCTCATATCATAAGTGATCATCCAGACTCCTGAAAATATGTAAGAAATCTTTAAGCAGATCTATGTGACATACTGCAAATGTAATATACAAGCACTAATTACTGAAAAGATTTCCCTGTAACAGGGTTTCTTTTGCACAGTACTATGTAAAACTTATGAAAAGTAATTTTAGTACCATTTATCCAACTGTGTTACTATAACCTAATGGAGAATCGAGACTTTTACAGGCCCTCGGGGCAGCTCTGCCACTACCTTCATCTTGTCTTCATTCCTGGATTATTAGAACAGCCTATCAATTGCTTTCTCTGCCTGAAGTCTCCCTCTCTCCCCAACCCCCATTCTTTCTGCACACTGCAACCAAAGCAGCCTTCCTAGAAAACATGGCTTTGAACATGTTAGCTCCTGGTCAAAAAACGTTAAGGTTTCCACTAGAAGACAAATTCCTAACCCTTTAGTCAGCATTCAATTAACTAGTAGCAGCCTACATTCACAGTCTTTAATTCTTCTTGTTCAGAAAGCCTCTATTCTATGTTCTCCAAATGCTTTCTCATTTCTCTGTTTTGGTTCATTCATCTGAAAAACACCATTAATCTAGTCAAATTATTGCCAAATCCTGGAAAATACATTTATTGGAATATTTTATCCTTTTAGATTTACTGGAATTTTCCACATATTCAATTCTTCCTGTAATTTTTTTTTTTTTTTTTTTTTGAGACAGCATCTCACTCTACTTGTCACCCAGCTAGAGTGCAATAGCATCATCATAGCTCACTGCAACCTCAAACTCCTGGGTTTAAGCAATCCTCCTGCCTCAGCCTCTGAAGTAGCTGGGACTACAAGCACATGCCACCAGGCCCAACTAATTTTTCTGTTTTTAGTAGAGACAGGGTCTCACCCTTGCTCAGGCTGGTCTCAAACTCCTGAGCTCAAGCAATCCACCCGCCTTGGCCTCCCGGAGTGCTAGGATTACAGGCGTGAGCCATGTGCCCAGCCTCTTTCTCTAACATTTAGCACTCCTATATTATTTAAATTATCAAGTTTCATCTTGTTTTCCCAGATTATCATGAGCTATCCTGTTGTATGTCACTATACCAACCAATGAAGGCGGATATGAATGAAGAAACAAAAGCAAACTTAATACCAATTGTCAAAACACCTGAGTGAGGAGTTTATCCTTAAGGACTTCACAGAATTCATTAGCCCAAAGCAATATTTAAAACTCTTAATGTAAGGAAGGTCTCTCCTAACTTTCTGTTATAGTTTAAAGCTCTTCTCTTCTCAAAAGAAGAACTGGCCACCTCTAATATTTGATTAAAATCCATCTAATTAAAAATATAAGAATTTCTATTTCAGGTGATACCATGCATAAACAGTCTACCCTGAGAGTCTGCCTCTGACATTAATTGCCAGTTAGGATGACATTCCATCAAGTAAGCCAACAAAGGTTATAGCTAGAGCCCAAAACATATCTAGCTTTCCTAATTGTTATTAAACTATTACAGACTACCACTTCTGGGTTTAAATAAAGACTTATTGAACTTATTATGGTTTTCACATAATCAATCCACCATAAATTTGTTCTATGTTGAATAAAGTCGGGCTTCCAAGCTTTCTAAATTTCCTTTTTTCAGGTTTAAGAGGTATCCTTCACAAATGTTTGAAGGTCTCCAAACTGTTAACAGTGACAAGCTGTCTATAGAGGCATTTAGAGTGATTTTCCCCCTCCTTCTCTTCTCCCCTACTCCCTCTCTCCCTACTCCCACTCTCTCTATTCCCAATTTCCACTTTCCTATATTGTTTAAATGTTTTTCACAATTAAACATGTATTCTTTTATTTGAACCAATAAAGCTGTTAACAAAAAATACAACAAAAGTGCCTGTCTAACTTTAGCATACAGAAATCTAAAGAACCTGGGATGCACCCAATTCATACCTTTCATTCTGTCTTTTCAGACTGAAGAACTATTACTTTTTTGGTTACTCTCATTTAAATTAATCTCTTGAAGTTCAGCAACTAAACAACTATATTTTAAGTATAATTTTTTTCTGTTCTTTTTGCAATGCTCTTCTGAATGATTTACTTTATTTTGGACTAATCCTCTAAGTTAAAAACTATTATTCTCCCTTCATGTACTAATTTCCAGTTAAAATTATTTTAATTTCTTTAACTTCTCCTCATAAATACTATTTTTCCAGCTAGTGTCTTCAACTGCTTTTTGTTGTTTGCCTAAGAACCAAAATCTTGAAGCAGAAAATCACTTACTAGCATTTTCAGTAATCTGGATACCAGTAATACCAGTAAAATTATAAGTTTTACTATCCTAGTGTCTAGGATGAAAAAAAAGACCTCACTCTGCCAATAGTATAAACAAGAATTCCTGAATACTATTAAAATAATAACTAACTAATATCTCAATGTTTTAGAAGCTTCTTTTGTATATAAGTTTTAGGATAATTATTTATACTTATTTTTATTTTTTTTTGAGACACACACTCTGTTGCCCAGACTTGAGTGCAGTGGCATCACCAAAGCTCAAGGCAACCTCAAACTCCTGGGCTCAAGTGATCCTCCTACCCCAGCCTCCTGAGTAGCTGGGACTACAGGTACGAACCACCATGCCTAGCTAATTTTTTTATTTTTTGTAGAGACGAGGGTCTTGCTATGTTGCTCAGGCTGGTCTCAAACTCCTGGCCTCAAGCAATCCTCCCACCTCAGCCTCCCAAAGTGCTAAGATTACAGGCATAAGCCACTATGCCCAGCAAAAGAAACCGTTAAGGTAATTAAAAAGTACTCCTAAGTAACTATATTAAAACAATCTACAAGCCCTGCTATGTCATTAACAGTATTTAAATGTAATGAAATTACAAAAATACTCAATACTATAGAATTTTAGGTCATTCAGATAGTTCTTTACCAAAATCAGAGAAAATATATTATACAGAAGGAAAAAGCACAGACTTGGGGATCAGGAGACTTAGGTTCTAGTCCCACCTCAGCCCCTAATTAGCCACATGACTTTAGAAAGAAGAGACTGAATCCAATAACCCCTAACCTCCTTTTCAGCTCTATCATTTCTTGTTCTGAGGAGGAAAAAACAAATCCTTACTATAAAACCTATGGATAGGGGCAATTTTGAGAGTAAAAAAAAAGTATTAGTAATAATCACACTAGACAATTGGTATAAACTGGGACTTTTCCAGGCAACCAAAAGGTACGGTCACTCATACTAATAGATACAATGTTGCCCAAATACTGTTTTTTCATTTCCATATCCCTAGAAGCTTGTTTTCTTAAATTTTTATTTTGTTTTAATTTTTTTGGTTTTGGAGTTTGTTTTGTTTTTATATTATATTAACTCTGGGCATTCTGGAAAGGTTGAATTCTTTTCGGCTAATGTCATACATAATGCTCTAAAAATATTTTAGAAAGTAATCTATGTTCTTATGCTGAATTTTGTAAAATAGATAAAGAACAAGAACTAATATATTTTCCAATTTAAGGTTTAAGATGTATATAGGTTGAACCACATTTTTAAACTTTACTTAATGCCCATCAAGAGGAAACAACCAATAACAGCATACTCATTAAGAGAGTTCTGAGTGTGATTTTACTGCATAGGGTAATCAAAAAAGATCCTTGTATTTCAAGGCAACTGTCAAAAACATAGAGCAAGGTTGAGACCTAAGTAGAAAAAACCAGACTGGTACAATTTCTAAATGTTTATATTGACTACTCCTAAATTATAAAGCTGATAAACCTCAAATGATCTATAATCCCACAAATAATTATAGCTATAAAAAAAATACAATCCAAAATCTTAAATTTCTCAATTATCATTGGCTGTTCACAAACATAAAGCAAAGTTAATGTTAAGCCCTGACATAAATATGCCATTCTCTTCTCCCTTCCATTCCAAATCATAATTTGGCTGGAGACATAAAATAATCTACAATTGCACTCACCACTAGAACTTTCACAGAAGCTTTGTGAGGCATGGGTAGAGGCCTTCTCCAGCTGCTGGGCCTCTATACCTGGGCCTAGCTGCTTTGCATTAGCCATTTTTGAGTCTTCTGCTAATGAGTTATCTGTTTTCTCTTGAGGCTGGGGCTGCTGCATCTCCTGGTCAGGTCTCAGAGGATCATCTGCTCTCACTAAAGGCAAGGGAAGCTGCGGAGAATGTTCCTCTATAGGTTCCTTTTCTGCAGTCACTGATTTCAGATCTCCTTCATATTCTATTCTCTTTTCTTCCTGGGTATCTAATCTATTCTCAGCACATGGTTCTATTTCTGGAGCAACATCCTCCCACGACTGGGAATCTGAGCCTTTCTCCACTCCCTCCAAAGGTTCACAAGAAATATCAACTCTGGGAGATGGCTCTTTGACATCTACAATGACAACACTTGAGTCCTCTGAAGTAGCTTCTTCCCAAGCTTCCTGATCTTTATGTTCCAATTCTTGGTCAAGTACTGGTAGCTTTTGGGGGGAATCAATACTAATCACACTGGTTTCAACTTCCATAGCTTCTGGGCATTCTTGTTTTGGGATTTCCTTTTGAAGACACAACCCTTGGGACTGAGTTTCAGTCAGAGAAAGGTGTAATGGGACACTCTCCATATTTTCTTCTTTGGGCTCCTCTCCCTGACTTTCACAAGGAGTCTCAGGGATTTCTTCCACCTCGGATCCTGAAGACCCCTCCTCTGGATGGTGTTCTTTAATTTCCATAGCCTCCTCCTGATCTAATACACTAGAGAGTGCCTCTGACTGAGTAGCTGGAGAAGGAACTGCCTGACTCCCTGAATCACAAGTGAGATCAATACAAACATCTTCTGCTACAGTTTCTTCTCTTCCTTTGCAACCAGAAGCTAAAATACTAATGTCATCCCTGGTCTCTGTGTCATCTCCCTTTGTTTTATCATCATTCTGACTCAGTTCTACTTGGCCATCCTGTGCCGGATTCATCAGGATATTATCATTTTCAGCAGGAACAAGCTTAGAATTGGGAACTGGAGACATGGGTTCAGTATCCTCAATCTGCGTGTTTTCTCCGTCTTCATCAATCCTGTGAGAACTCAAGCTCTCCACCTTTGGAGACTGACTATACTCACTTGCAGAAAGCATCAATTTGCAAGTCTCCCCTGTCAAAGATAACCCAAGATCCTCAGTGGAATTCTTTGGTTCAATCTCTGAAGTCTTAGAACACTCAACAGTCAAAGATGAACTATGCAAATCTCCACCTTTCTTCCCATCATTTGATCGTTCTTCCAAACTTGGCGATGGAATGAAAATATCCTAAGGAAGAACAAAAAGAGAAAAAATTATCATTTGTCCATAATCATATTTCTTTTACATCTAATCTTTGGATTCATTTAAAATTTCTAAATCAGCTATTCAAGAATCAAAGAACTCTAGGACCATAATCTCAGAAACACAAACTCATTCACCAATTTTTTCATCAACACAAGTCCCTGTGTTTAGTGCTTTTCTCGTGAAATTACTGATCTAGAATAAGCATAATCCAAACAAAAACTTAAAAGTACCAACTTATCCTTTTAAGAGTAGGAAGAAACTTAAATTTAACTGTACATCATCAAGCTACTAAAATCATGTCATATATATATGATGGGCCCTCAATTACACAGTAATCTTTTAAACATATGCCTACATAGCCCATTTCAGTTCTCACAAAGTGGGCATATGTACTCATTTTACATCTACTATTTCAAAATATGCTAGCATTCATAAAGCATATATTAAAATTTAAAGCTTACAATATCATTAGTCAACAGAGAAATGAAAATTAAAACCACAATAAAATACCACTACGTACAACAAAAACAACTAAACTTAAAATGGCTCATAAAACCAACTGTTGGTGGAACCGCAACTCTCATACATTGCTGGTAGGAATGCAAATGTACAACCACTTTGCAAAATAGTATGGCAGTATCTTATAAAGTTAAATATACATTACCATATGACCTAGAAATTTTACTTGTAGGCATTTACCCAAGAGAAATGAAAACATATGTTCACAGAAAGGTATGTATACAAATGATTACAGCAGTATTATTCACAAAAACCAAAAACCCAAATGTCTGTCAACTGGTGAATGGGTAAGCAAATTGTAGATATACATATACTCAATAATATAAATGGAATAAAATACTAATACATGCAACAATATGAACAAATCTCAAAATATGATAGGTGAAAGAATACAAACACAAAAGACCATACGTACTTTATGATTCCAATTATGTTAAATTCTTGAAAAACCAAAACTATAGTGACAGAGAGCAGATGTGTGGTTGAAGGTAGGTGAAGGGAGCATTTTGAGGGGAGGGAGATCAACCATAAACAGTTGCAAGGGAACTTTTTAGGGTGAGGGAACTGTTCTATACTTTGATAGTGGTGATGGTTACACATTTGTATACGATTACCAAAATTCATCAAACTATACACTTAAAATGGCAATTTTATTTTATGTAACTAATACCTTAATTTGAAAAAAAAGAAAAATTAATACAAAGCTTAGATATATTTTTATGTAAAAATTTACATTTAGTGTGTTACTTTGCCTAATATAAATGCTGTAAAACTCCAGACATAGCTGGTTAAGACATTCATTTAATATGATTTTTAAAAGAATGAGGAATCAAAATGGGTAGGCAAACATTCTGTATATTCCATAACTGCTGGTATTTCAATGTCTGGTATTATTGTTTATCTTATCAGATTATAACAACGGTCATAAATTTGAGCCTATTCACATACTCTCAGACAGTAATGAGTATAAACTGGTTCAACATTTCTAAATAGCAATTTGGCAAATTACAATAGCCTTGAAATTCTACATATTCCTTAACCCAGTAATTCCATTTCTGAGAAATAAAGAAAGCACACAGATTTAGCTATAAAACTATTCGCTGTTACATTATTATTTAGAATACGAAACAATATGAAATAATCTTAAATGTCTACTGACAGGAGAACCATTTAAAAATTATGATACATCTATATTATAGAATACTTTATATCTACATAAAGTTATAAAAGACATAGAAAACATTCAGGCTATGCATTAAATAGGAAAGGTTTCTATTTTAGTAAAAAAATGTGAATATGTACTTTACTGTAGTCTTTTTTATATATTTTATGTAATTTTCATGTATTTTTAAAGTTAATAAACATATATCAAAAAAAGTTGAGAGTTGTTATTTCTGATGGCATAATAACTGATGATATTTTCTTTTACCTATATATTATCATCTTTTGAAAAAATATATATTTTTTCTCTTGCTGCAAACAGTAAGTCATTTTACAAAGATTCATAGATAAGACATCACTAATAAAACTATAAATGACTTTTTTAAGAATGAAATTCACATAACATAAAATTAACCCATTTTAAAATGAACAATTCAGTGGCATTTAGTGCATTCACAATGTCATGCAACCACCACCTCTATCTAGTTCGAAAACATTTTTATCGCCCCAAAAAGGAAACCTCATATTCATTAAGCAGTTGCTTCCCATTATAAATACTTTTTAAGCATTATCAAAGTGAATACTAATATGATTTTCTTAACAGAATTTTTACAACGTAAGCAGAATTTCAGTCTAGTAAGAATAGAATTTAAGGAGTTAACCAGCCTATCAACAAGCTACATTTCTAAAGACTGCCTGCATCTAGCCATACTCTGAGCGTCTGGCCCCTAATAATCCACAGTACTGAGACTCCCTGAAGGCCTAGTCAGAATAACTGAACTAAGTGAACAAAACTTTCCAAGGCTCTGGATGAAGACCAACAAAGAACTGTCAGGACTATGCTCAATATGAGTCAACTTCTTAAGTCTAGATAGAGTACAGACCTAAATCCATAGTATCCAACCAGTTAAAAACTGACCTCATACATAAGAGTTTAAAAGCCATTCATTTAATCATCTATAACCTAATTTGTCACCCCCAAAATTAACATGTACGTCAAGAATGAGAAAAGGCCCTGGGCGTGGTGGTTCATGCCTGTAATCCTAGTACTCTGGGAGGCCAAGGTGGGAGAACTGCTTGAGCTCAGGAGTTTAAGAACAGTCTAAGCAAGAGCAAGATCCCATCTCTACTAAAAATAGAAAAATCAGCAAGCCATCTTGGTGTGCACTTGTAGTTCCAGCTACTGGGGAGGCAGGCAGGAGGATCGTTTAAACCCAGAAGTTTGAGGTTGCAGTGAGCTATGATGATGCCACTGCACTCAACCCGGGGCGACAGAGCAAGACTCTATCTCAAAATAAATAAATAAATAAAAAATAAGAAAAGTGTTAACTATTTTCTACTACTCCTCTTCTTATCCCTCACATCCTGGTAAAGAGCCAAAAAGGCTATGCAGTTGACGAGCTTACTAGAAAAGAAAGAAAAAAATTCATAAATTCTCTTTGTACCAATTTTCTCTTGATTAGTAATTATCTCTTTACAAATATTTATATCTTACATCAAAATTGGGCTCATTTGGACTCCAGTAACCAAGTACAGAAGAAATAACAGAGGTACAAGGGTTAACCATTAAGAGTAACATGTAGAAATTTGATACATAATGAAAAAAGTAGGGAACTTTCAAATAAAAATGGTGGATTGAATATATACATACTCAGAAAATAAGGTTTTCTGAACCCTGTTAAGTGATGGTAAAGGGACTTCTTTAAGCACAAATTTTCAAGCAAAGGAGAAAAGAAGAAAATATAACTGTAAAAAAATTCTGGAGGAATGGTAATCTATTTCGCAGACTAATGAAAGCTGATTTCCTAAGCCAGCAGTGGAGAAAGCCAAGAAGCAACCAGAGTGACATCACAGTTCAACTTCCATATCCTCTCCCACTTGCCCCTCCTCTGCCCTGAAGAGGATAAAACAGAGTGCCCCAGGACTGGAGGACAAGAAGCACAGTTATATAGGAAGTATGATACTGAAAATAAGGAGATTAAATGAAAATCTACATATTGAATAAAACCTGCATCTACCTTCCAATGCTGCCCCCCACCCAGCCCTCTTCCATTAAGAGACTTCTAGTACAATGGCAGCCACACCTGTACTCAGCAGAGAGGAGGACTAGACATTTTCCTGGGGTATCTGACCAGACCAAGGCAAGTCCAGATACTGACATCAGGGGACCCCCAACAAAATGTCCCAGCAGATAGCACTACAATGAATCTCAGAAACAATGAACTCTAACCACTAGCTCAGAACTACTAATCATCTTTCTGGTATTTCACTTTTTTTTTTTTTTTTTTTGAAACAGAGTCTCACTTTCTTACCTGGGGTGAGTGCCATGGCATTAGCCTAGCTCACAGCAACCTCAAACTCCTAGGCTCAAGCGATCCTCCTGCATCAGCCTCCCAGGTGGCTGGGACTACAAGCACGTGCCACCATGCCCGGCTAATTTTTTTCTATTTATAGTTGTTTGGCCAATTTCTTTCTATTATTTTTTTAGTAGAGACAGGGTCTCGCTCTTGCTCAGGCTAGTCTCGACCTCCTGAGCTCAAACGATCCGCCCGCCTCGGCCTCCCAGAGTGCTAAGATTACAGGCGTGAGCCACCGCCCCCGGCCACAGGTATTTCACTCTTAAATATCAGCAAATAATCAAGGATTACCAGACAGCTGAGAAAAGCCTCTAATTTGAAAGAGATCAAAGCAAACAAAACTAACTAAAACCTATCTGGAAGAAACAGTGACTATTCCAGAGAGAAAACTTCAAAACAAAAAACAACTATTATTACTATCATTAGAGAAATAAGACAGTATACCCATAAAACAACATAAATGCTATTTTTTAAAAAGAGAATATTCAGAGAAAAAAAGGAGTTTAGAAATTAAAAACCCAAAAGTAGAAATTAATAACTCAGAGAAGAATTAAAAGATGGTTGAACACAATGATTGCACCCGTATAGGCATAGATGAGAGAAATAAAACCATGTCCACATACAAACTTGTGCATAAATGTACATAGCAGCATTACTCACAATAGCCAAAAAGAGGAAACAAGCCAAATGTCCATCAACTGATAAATGAATAATCACAGCATATACATACAATGGTATTATTTAGCAACAGAAAGGAATGATATTTGATACACGCTACAACGTAAATGAACCTTGAAAAACTTTATGCTAAATGAAAGAAGCCAGTCCAAAAAAACCATATTATTAATATATAATTCCATTTATATGAAATGTCCAGAATAGGCAAACCTATAGAGACAGAAAGTAGATTAGTGGTGTTACCGAGCTGGAGTGGAGGAAATGGAAATGACTGCTAATGGGCATGAGTTTTTTATAGGGGGAATAACGAAAACATTCTAAACTTAGATTGTGGTGATGATTGCACAACTCTGAACATACTAAAAAGCATTAGATTGTACACTTTGTTTAGACTGTACACTTTAAATGGGTGAACTATATGGTCTGTGAGTTATATCGCAATAAAGCTATTTTTTAAAAAATGGCTGAGGAAATCACCCAGAAATTTGAACAGAGAGAGAGAGAGAAAGAGAGAGAGAGAGAGAGAGAGAGATGATGGAAAGTACAAGATAAAATAAGAAAATCAGAAGACTATTCTAGGAGTTTCAACATTCAAACAATAGGTATTCCATTAAAAAAAGAACAGAGAGGCTAGGTTTGGTGGTTCACACCTGTAATCCTAGCATTCTGGGAGACCGAGGTGGGAGGATTGCTTGAGCTCAGGAGTTCGAGACCACCCTGAGCAAAAGCGAGACCCCATCTCTATTAAAAATAGAAAAATTAGCTGGGCATCATGGTGCGCATCTGTAGTTCCAGCTACTTGGCAGACTTAAGCAAAAGGATCACTTGAGCCCAGGAGTTTGAGATTACAGTGAGCTATGATGACACCACTGCACTCTACCCAGGGCAACAGAGCAAGACCGCCTCAAAAAAAAAAAAAAAAAGAACAGAGAAAACAAAGGGGAAGAAATTAAAGAGGCAATTACATTTCTCTAAACTGGAGTGCCTGAGTTTCTAAACTGAGAGGGCCTACCAAGTGCCCAATACAAGGAATGAAAATAGACCCATGCCGAAGGTCTGGAAATTTCACAACACTAGGGACAAAGAGAAGATCCTACAGGATTCCAGTAAGAAAAAAACAGGTCACATACTAAATATCAAGATCAGACTGGCTTCACACTTCTCAACAGCAAGTTGGAAGAAAAAGAGCAATGCCTTCAAAAACTTTAAAGGAAAATTATTTCCAATCTAGAACGCTATATTCCTACAAACTACAAATCAATTATGACAGTAAAATAAAGGCTACTAGCCAATGTCCCCCACCAAAATGAGGGAGTAAACCAAGTAAGAAGACACAGAGCCGAAGAGGTATCCAACACAGACAGGTAAGGAGAATCTCCAAGGACAACAGTGAAGGGAGGCAACAATTATGCACCAGGCATACAGCGCAACAGTACAGATTAGAAATCAGAAGGCTCCAAAAGAGGTTTCTCCAAAAGGTTAAAACAGAAAATTTGAGGCCCTTGAACATCCTTAAAGGAAATTTTGACAATTGATAGGGAATCTAGGGTTGATTTAGTGAGATACAAAGAAAACTAAACAAATAAAAAAGACAATTAGCAATTTCAGCAAGAAATTACCCAAACATGGAAAAATAATCACAACATTTCACAGGCTTTGTTGTGAATAGTGTTTACATAGTCATAATAATGTAAACAAAATAATGATCTAACCCAAATTATGATGTAATTATACTTGGAAGACAGGGAAATGGCTAAAAAAAAATTTTAAGTAGAATTTATGAAATTTAATCATCCTATGTAGAATTATGGAGGTAAGTACCAAAAGAAAAAACTTAAGAGAACTGAAAGTGGCTATCTTTGGGTAGGGGAAGGGAGAGGCCTTTTCTACCTATGTGACTCCTTTTTTGGCTTTTACGAATACTAATCAAATGTTTAGCTTAAAAGCTATGTTGTAAAGGTACTCTTGAGAGACTTTTTAGGAGGCATGCACTGCACTCACTGGCTGAGGCAGTGGTCCCCAACCTTTTTGGCACCAGGGACCGGTTTCATGGAAGACAATTTTTCCACGGGAGGGAGGCAGAGCTTAGATGGTGATGCGAGGCCCTGTTCTCCTAACAGGCCATAACCTTACCAGTCTAATGCTGCAGGGCTGAGGCATCTTAAAATATGAGATCAAAGAAATCTCACTAGAGTTATCTTAGGTTCCAAGAATCTTTGAACTATGTTCAGAATCATTCCTCTCAAGTTTTCATTGCTGGTTTTACAGCTGCCTCTGAAGGTCTTTGGTAAATGCTAAAGGTAGAAAAGTTTCTTCAACGGTGCCTTCTTCAGAAAGTCTGTTCTCCCTCTGTAGGCTAGGCATCATTTTCCTCCACTGGTAGGGATACCTTTGCAAAGACATTCATTCCTATAGAAGTCCTGTTTGGTCACCTGTAACTATTCCCTTTAATATCAGCGCTAGAAAATTCTTCTCAGTGTTCTGTGTGCTTATAGCTCATCCTTAAATCTTGATGGATCTTCTAAACTATATACATTCACATTTTTTTTTAAAACAAGGTCTTACTATATCACCCAGACTAGTCTCAAACTTCAGGCCTAAAGCCTCCCATCCAAGACTCCCAAGTAGCTGGGATTACAAGGCACATGCCACCACACTCAGCTATTTTCACACATACATCTGATAGAAAAATAAAAGCTAAAGAAAAAGTTATATGATGGTTGAACATCCACTTCACCTATAGGCAACCTTGTCTTCAAGCCTTTCACTGCCAGCAATAGCTACCCTTATGCAGCAGTTGTCAACTGCAAAGCACTATTCTCGGCATTTTATCTATATTAACTCATTTGACCTTCACAACTACCGGATGAGGTAGGTAGTGTCAAAATCCCCATTGGATTGGTAAGCAAACTGAAGCTCAGTTTCAATTGGTCACAAAGACTGTAATGACAGAGCCAGAAGTGAGTCCAGGAAGTTCCGACTCTAGAGTCCTTGTTCTTAATCACTCCACCAAATTGTCTCTAATGATTTGCATAAAAAGGAATTCTTCAACAAAACAAATTTTAAAACTCCAAAAAGCAATTAAATTTCTTTACTCCTACTGTCCCCTCTTCATTAAATTTATGGCACGTTTCATTACTATTCACTTTCAAATTTTACTTTTAAATATAAACCCTTGTCACAACACTGCGAACTGAAAGATGTGAAAAAAGTTCTTCCAATAACACTACAACAATTGCCCCATTTAAGGTCTTACAGGAACAGGCATCTAGATTGAACATAGAATACAGTCATTTGGATTTAACTGAGGACCTTCAATTCACTATGACACCTGAATTTCATTTCTTTAAATATTTAAATTTAAAATTACACAAATTAGATTAGTTTTCTCTTCCTTTTAGAAGAAAATACACATCAGAAAACTAAAACCCATCTTGATACGATCACTACAGGAATTACACTGACAACAGATAAAATCCACTTAGAGAAATAATACACAACTTTTAAATGGATAATATGAACACAATATAACACTGAAAATTATTATGACACAATGTTAACTGGAAAAAGAAGATTAAAGTTTTATCTCTGCTATAAACAACTTCAATTTTTAAAAACAGAGGCATGTGGAAAGACAAAAATGACAGTACTAGTTGTATTAAGGTATAATAATGATTTATGTCCCCTTTCAATTTTCAAAGTTTAAAGATGGAAAATTTAAACATAAAAAATATATCAAGATGTTAGGAAACTTTGTAAATGTTTTAGAACTGGATTGTGATGACAATTGCACAACTCTGTAAATTCACTAAAATATCACTAAATTATAAACTTACAATGAGTGAATTTTATGGTTCATAAATTATACCTTAATAAATCTGTTTTAAAAAATGTTAGGAAAAAAAAAAACTCTTTCTACAATACTTACATGAGAAAACTCAGGCTGGGATGGGATAGGAAGTGAACCAGGAGTAAAGACTGGTGTGCTCTGAGATACTGGTGTTGAGGCTTGTGGTGATATAGTGGGCTCAGGTGGGAGAGGGGGCTTCTCTATCTCCACTGGTTCATCATCTTGCAGTTTCTTCTGAAAAGGCTCTCCTCCTTCTTCAGATAACACTGACATGTCCATCGGCTCACCTGGTTTAAAACAGGAAAAACAAATCGAGAAATAATCACTCATCAATATTACCCATGTTCCAACACTACTAACAACAATTACATTACATCTGCTCTAAAAAAATAGTGATATAACTTTTAGAAAAGCTGAAAGAATAATAGACTGGGTCCTAGCAATCTAGCAATACGGGGTGGGGGAGGGGGGGTTCACGCTGCTATTTTTAGGTATAGATGAAAACTGGGTTCATCTGGGGATACCCACCCATTCATAAGGAATGTTAAATTAACTTGGCTCTTCTAAGCTCCTCTCCTGATTATAGCTCAGTTTTTCACATTTTGTGTAGGAATGCCCAGATTAATGGCACCTAATTTAACTATCATATATTCTGCCACAGGCTTTGAAAGACAGTGTACTTGTCACTACTCTAAGTAAATACAGTACATACATATTTATAAACTTATTATATTTGCATTAACAATTGCTAACTGCAGAGAGATGAATGCTAGTACAAATACAGAAGAAGAAAGAAAAATCTATCAATGCCAATCAGCACTGATTTATCAAAGAACTAAGAAGTAGAAGACACTAATCCTGACACAAATTGCTCAGAAGAAAACGTATACACAAAACACTACTTTACCACAGGATACTACCCACCTATAGGCTAACAAGACCCTCCTTGGAGCAAGCCTAGCTAGCTAGGTATTTGATTTATCATCCTTTTTTCCCGTATATATCTTACAACTTAATCCCAACGAGGCTTTCTCTAGACCACTCACAGACTATGTATGACATATAGTTTTTCCCCATAATCCACATTCATGCTACCAGCTACTCATACCCCCATCCTCAATACCTACCCTTGCTGCTTAGCTTGGTCTCAGCCTTACCAGTCTAATGCTAATTTGGGATCTGGTGCTACAGGCCTTTAATACACTACCACAGCTGTGCTAAGTATTTTCACTGCACCTTTTGAACTTTCTTGCCATGACAAAGCACATTAAGGACCTGCTGAACAAATAAATACAAAAGCATATATAGTCTCACAAACACTGATGCACATATTAAGCAAATGTAGTAAATCTAAAATACAACTGACAAGGGTAAATACAATGTGTTACATGGAAAAAAGGAAACTAAATCATATACATAATGATGCCAATTGTGTAAAAAAACTTTTTTATATTTATGCATTGAAAACACTGTGAAATATATCCAAATATACTAATTATAGCTCTATCTGGATTGTGGTATCACAAGAGATTTTTGTTTTCTTGTCATTAATTTCCTATATGCTTTCCAGACTTTCTACAGTGAGTATTATGTTTATAATCAGGGAGAATGCATTTTTAATACAATTACTGCATTTTTAATACAATTACTTTTATATTTTTTCAATGTTCACACTACAGATGGAAGAAACTTCTAAGAATTAATCAAACTTAACTTGCATTAACACAGTTTTCTGTAGAATGAATTCACCTTTTTTTTTTTTTTTACTGAAGATGTCACTAATCATGTTATGCTTACAATATCAATCCATTTGGATACATACAACTGATTTCAAGAAAAAATAGCCAGAGACAAACTTTGTAGCAGAAAAAAAATCTAAGATCAAATTCTGACATGGATAAATTACACTTGAAGAACTGTTAAATATATGTCTATAATTACATTACTCAAGAGCAAAGAGCAGGATATCATAGGAGGCATATACATGACAGATAAAAGCCCAGGCTCTGGAGGCAGATGTCTGAGTTCAAATCCTGCCCCTACAACCTTATGAGTTGTAAAATCTCTCTGTGCCTCCATTTCCTTGTCTGTAAGATGAGGATAGAAGTAGCACTTACTTCTTAGGATTGCTGTGAGGATTCAAGGAGAAAAACCACAGAGAAACACCTAGAACTGTTTGGTAAGTGCTCAATAAATAAAAGCTATTATACTGTTATTTGTATGTGAAAGAAGGAAAAGGAGAAAATCATGAAATTTATTGGAAAAGGATTTTTAGAAATAATAGGAATTTAGAATTATCTTGAATGATTGGCTAGGAGACCAGGGCAAAGCAAAAGAGGTTGAAATAGTCAGATAAATAAGGTGAGTGAAAAGGAAGCTTTCTTGTGAATAAAGTTAATATAAAATAACTCAGTTCTCAAAGGAGGAAGTGAATGAAGCTAAAAAGTTTTGGCCAGGTATGGCGGCTCATGCCTATAATCCCAGCACTTTGGGAAGCCAAGGCGGGAGGATCACTTGAGGCCAGGAGTTCAAGACCAGCCAGGATAATATAGTGAGACCACTTCTCTAGAAAAAAGTTTTTAAAAAATTAGTTAGGCATGGTGGCAAGCATCTGTAATCCTAGCTACTCAGGAGGCAGAGGTAGAAGGATCACTTGAGCCCAGGAGTTTGAGCTGACAAAATTTTTACTACCTGCTCCTAGCCATTCTTTGGCTAAATCTATTTTAATAATAGCAAAACTAGGCCTGGCATGGTGGCTCACACCTATCATCCTAGCACTTTGGGAGGCCAAGACAGGAGAAATGCTTGAGGCCAGGAGTTCAAGGCCAGCCTGAGCAAGAGCAAGACCCCATCTCTATAAAAAATAGAAAAAGTAGCTGGGTGGAGTGGCACACACCTATAGTCCCAGCTAGTTGGGAGGCTGAGGTAGGAGGATCACTTCAGCCCAGGAGTTGGAGGTTGCAGTGAGCTATGATGATGCCACTACACTCTAACCCAGGCAACAAAGTGAGAGATAATAATAGTAACAATCATAGCAAAAATAACCTACAAAGACCATAAGAACAATTGCTGATTCCCTCTCACCAGAAACATGTTAATATGTTGCTGGAAACTACCAGGCCACTAATAAGCCCAGTTCTTCCCCATACTAATTCATTTGAGTTCAACTTTTAAAAAATTAAAATTTTCCCTTAAGGGCCTTTTTATAAATTGAGCCAATAATACAGAAATCTCAGAAGAATTAGTGCTAGAAAAGCAAAGAACTAAAAGCACTTTACACTAGGCCATATCCCTGAAAGTTAGATAGACATGAGTCCTACTGAATAGTGTAGGTCACAGTGTGCTAAAGCAGTGGTCCCCAACCTTTTTGGCACCAGGGATCAGTTTCACGGAAGACAATTTTTCCATGGATGGGGGATGGTTTCAGGATGATTCAAGCACATTACATTTACTGTGCAGTCAAAACCTCTCTGCTAATGATAATCTGTATTTGCAGCCCCTCCCCAGCACTAGCATCACTGCCTCAGCTCCACCTCAGATCATCAGGCATTAGATTCTCATACAGAGCTCGCAACCTAGACCCCTCACATGTGCAGTTTACAGTAGGGTTCATGCTCCTATCAGAATCTAATGCCACTGCTGATCTGACAGGAGGCGGAGCTTATAGGTGATGTGAGTGATGGGGAGCAGCTGTAAATACATATGAAGCTTCTCTCGCCCTCTGCTCACCTCCTGCTGTGTGGCCCAGTTCCTAACAAGCCATAGACCGGTACCAGTCAGCAGCCCAGGGTTTGGGAATCGCAGTTCTAAAGTACAAAGAAATAGTACATTTCGCAAGGCAGAAGAAGTGCTGCTTCTCTTCTAATCTGAGATCAACAGACAGATCAAGAGAGCTCACCTTTTCTCCCTTCTTGCTCTGTGGGACTGCTAGGAACGATAAAAGGGGTAGATCGGAAAGCATCAGGGGAAGGAGCAACAAGATCTGAGGAATTCCTTTATATAAAGAGAGAATCACAGGTTATTTTACTACAGCCACAGTTTTGCATTCCCGTATTTGTTTTTACTTTTTAATAGCAAAAATATCTAAGTCATTCAGATAAATACTTATTATAATTTCTCCCAAACAGCAACCTGAGGCTGGCAGAAGAACCATGAATACTTCGATAACTATTTCCCACACCAGACATTTCTAAAATAAGAATTAAAAAAAAAAAAGAGCAAAGTGAATGACCAGACATAAGGACACCATGACTGAAAAGCAGGATGAGCAAGTGCTAGGAAATAAATTCATTTACAGATCTGAGACATAAAAAAAATTTACTCTATTTTTTGCCTAATAATAGGAAGACCATGCACACTGTTATTTAAAACCAGAAACAAAAACAAAACAAAAAACAAAAAGCAAATCTCTTTGCCCTAACACAGAGATTGAGAAATTCAACTACTGTCAACTATAACAACTTATTCTCCACCCTATATTGTTAAATAGAAAGAACTGCTAGTAAAATAGATGAGCAGACGCTAGTTTTGGATGTATAACATTTTCTAAATAACTGGGCATTTTCTTTCCTAGTGAAGCCTTTGGGCTACTATTATAAAACCTCCAAATGAGAAAACAGACTAATGTGCCTTCAACAGTTCCACTTAGTTCTCATCCTAAAAATTCTAAAGCCTAAATTCTACCTTTTTGTTTCAAAAAGAATTCTGGACTAGCTGGCAATTTTAGCTTTTTCAGCCTTAGTCTAAGACCCTCAGGCACATATTGCCTTGGCACAAGCTATTTCTGGCTTACCTACGTGCAAAGACTCTTACTTACGTGGAAAGACTCTCCTGAACAAGGGACCTCTGACCAGAAAGCTGCAGAAGGTGCAGAGTGGTGGCAGGTGTGGAAGCCAGAGAACACCCACCTTCCTCCCTTGAAGGAGTAGAGCAACCATCAGAAGCTATTGGGAAAAAAAAAAGAAATTCCAGTTGGATTTATTTCACAAATTGACATAACTGAGTTGTCAAAAAACCACTCAGTATTGCAAAAAGAGTAATATCCGTATTTCCAACCATCTTCCAAGAGGGCAGAAGTTATTTTTTAATTGCAGTACAATTAATGGAATGCCACAATAATATAAATCTTGAGTGAACATTAAACCCTTCCTCCCAATGGGTTCCTTGAAGAAAAAATTGATGTAAAGAGTTTCTTAATCCTTTCTGTCATGATCTAAGCTTAGAGAGGAAAAGCCAGAATCTTTATACCTCTGCTTGGCTGCTCTTTTTTCTTGTGCTGCTTCTATTATAAAACAGCAAGCAAGTCTTTTATTCCAAGGTCTACCTAAGGTGCAGTAAAGCTCATTCCATGATGCAGATGGGAGAAGTCAAAACAATACGCATGATACCTGATGATGTGAATGCAGCAATTTTCATGATTAGAATTTCAGCCTGCTCAAAGGAGACAGAAAACACTAATGCACTAGTAAAAGGATATATGAGCAGCCATTACTGATTTACACTATGAAGAGTTTCTCTCCTGTTGGTCCCTTCTCCTTAGCAATAAAGTATTAACTATATTAATCCCAAGTGTAAAAGAATTTCTTTTTTTTTTTTTTTTTTGAGACAGAGTCTCACTTTGTTGCCCTGGCTAGAGTGAGTGCCGTGGTGTTAGCCTAGCTCACAGCAACCTCAAACTCCTGGGCTGAAGTGATCCTCCTGCCTCAGCCTCCTGAGTAGCTGGGACTACAGGCTTGCGCCACCATGCCCGGCTAATTTTTTCTATATATTTTTAGTTGTTCAGATAATTTCTTTCTATTTTTTTTAGTAGAGACGGGGTCTCGCTCTTGCTCAGGCTGGTTTCGAACTCCTGAGCTCAAACAATCCGCCCGCCTCGGCCTCCCAGAGAGCTAGGATTACAGGTGTGAGCCACCGCATCCGGCCTAAAAGAATTTCTTAAATACAATCTTGTAGCTTTAGTGAGAAACTAAAAAAGGTTTCTCGGTAACCCTTTGAATGTCTTGCACAGCAACCTACATGAGAGCACTATAAAGTAATATAGCCTTCTTCCCTTCCCTTCTTACAACCAACATGTTTTATCTTGCTGGTTATTACTGAAGCTTTCTGGCTGTCTGAGGTTATAAAATAAAAGGTTGGTGGGGGTTTAAAAAGTGTGAAACAAACACCACTGCAGTCTTTATTTATTTATTTGCATCCTTTCTGCTAGACGTTACCTTCCTATTTGATGAACTAATAAACAGATAAGTTTATTTTAACTATTACCCAGGTGAGTATGAAAAACTTGAACTTAATTATCATAGTTGAGATTTTTTAAAATAAATTCCTTATTTTTAAAATAGGTTTAGGTAGTATTCTGATACAGCAAAACTCTTTTTATGATTTTGTACAAATATTTCTGTCACTGTAACAGTTATTTATTCCATTTTATTACCTATTTTATTTTCTTATTATGTATTTTTATTTTGGGGAACTTGCCTTTATTTTTTTCAACTTTAATAGATTTAGGGGGTACAAGATGAATTACATGACATATATATATTGTAGACTGGAAGTCTGGGCTTTTGGTGTACCCATCACCTGAATAGTGTACATCATACACCATAGATAATTTTTCATCCCTCACCCACTTCCAGCCTCCCCTCTATTAAGTCTCCCACATTTAGACTTGAAGATGCAGTAAGTACATGATAGAAAAAGAAAGAGCTACAATCCATAATAAATTTACTATATTAGCTGTTATTCTTCAATCTCTCATTTCCAAAAAAGAGAAAATTATGTTAAAATGTTAACTAGTAATCATGCCCAAAAAGCCCTTATCACTAATTAACCAGAAATATATTTTCCTTCCATATCACAAGCAAGTTTGCATACCTATAAAATGCATTCTAACTTAAACAGTAGCCTCGGAACTAAAATCTAGAGAAGAGGAGCTGTAGCAACTAATAACTCTTGGTACCTGTTTTATTGCTCTGATCAAACAAGTCTTCCTGAGTTGACAAAACCTCAGGCTCTGGTGACTTCTGAATCTGCAGTCCACCTTCCAGAAGTTCTTGAGCAGACATTTGTTCTTTTGCTTCTATAGCAGCAGGAGACACTTTAGGACTAGAAGGCATATTCTCTGACCTAGAAAATTCACAGCACCAGCAAAGAAAGTTACTAAGTTGAATGATTTCATCCTTTAACTAAAGAGCTTTTCCTGTTTTGTGTTTTTCTTTAATAATTTAAAAAATTCCAGTGGCTCTAATCTACATAATTATCTACCAAAAATAAAATAAGCTGTTCTTTATAATGATATAAAGCCCTTTGACCATTTCAAAGCCTGTCTCACTCTCTCACACAACAATACCTCTGTTCAACTCTGTTCAATGCTGTGCTGCGTGCTTTCCAGAATCTCTGATGAGTGATTTTTGGATTTTTGTTACATATGCTGTTATCTAGATCTGTATGAAGGATATTGATCCAGACTGTGATACCAGTAAGGAGAGCTGTCCAAACAATGACCTTCCTCAGATAAGTGCTTGATGTGAATTCTCCTCCATACTAGTGCTACACACATCTTCTGCTGACCTTTTCCATTTGATCTACCCAACCCAAGCCCCAAACCAAGACTGCTTCACACCTATACTATTAACATATATAAGACACACATTGCTGGCCCCTTTCCAGAGACTTATGATGTTTACTTATTCTACCACTCACCAGAGCACATAAAATAGCATAACTAGCTGGAAGGCAACATACTAAACAAAAGCCTAAATAGTTAGCCACTGTTAAGCCGAGTGTTTTACATTAGAATGAAAACTTCTCTTGATATTCAACTTTGTGCAGAAGGAAATAACAAAACAATACTGAATGTTTATTCATTCTCTGCCCTGGAAGCGTAACAGTTTTCCTCTGCCATATCCGAACTTCAGCTGTTGGCCAGAGACAATGCAGCTTTGGGTATAATAATCACTACGGGACATAGCAGAGGTATATTCCCCATTTCCCACCAAGTTAAGAACCTAAAAGACTTGAAAAAATCCCTACATCTATCTATACCATAAACTACCAGAAGCAGGATACCTGAGGACCCAAAGGAATCTAGGTGCTCCTCAAATATAGAAAGAGTATGTTTTCAAATAGAATATTAACGCAACTCTTCATAACACTAGAGAGGTTAGGAAGACCTCCCTCAGAAAGACAGAGCCTGTACAGACAAAGATCACAGAGGAGGAGCGATAACCAAAGATTAAAGAGTCATGCTTATAGTTATAGCAACAATAAAACAGCTTTGTAGTATGCCTAAAGATGAGTAGCCAGGCCTGGTGGCCTGTGGTCCCAACAACTTGAGAGGCTAAAGCAGGAGGATAACTTTACCCCAGGAGTTCAAATCTGGCCTGGGCAACAAAGCAAGACCTCTGTTTCTTTAAAAAGAAAAAAAAAGAACACTAGACAATGTCATAAATAATCAGTGTTTCTTCTGTACCAGAAATATGCCCACTATAAGGAGAAAAAAAAAAATCAATTTCTAAAAACGTTTCCACCTGACAAAATGAAATTTGTATAACTCTATAGCAAAAACCCATAAATACCTTAGAGAAACAACATGGTTTACCTTGTAGGTGGTGGATTTTGCTCTTCTACCACATGTGCAACTTTACTGGGCTGTGCTGTCACAGAGATATCCTTACTGGGCTGTTCTGCCATGGGGATATCTTCCTTGGATTGTTCTTCGTGCTTAATTGCTTAGCAGAAGACAGGAAGGAGATATTTAATTTTTCAAAGTACTAGAAGCAATTCTAAATGCTTTCTAAAAGGCAAAGATTTTAATAGAAATAAGTTCAATTTAAAAATATATACAGGCATCATTCTAAAAAGGAAAATAACCAATAACCCCCTTACAGAAAACTTCAGTTGCAAGCCATCAACTGACAAGTATCTACCAGACAACTCCACAACCTTACTATATTACTTAGATTATATTAACTTGGATAACTATAAAACTTATCAAGGAAAAAATAACTACCTCTATCATGAGAGGAAAACACTTATAAACAACTCCAAATGTCATAAAACATGTTTCATACCAGTATTAGCATCCACATCAGATAGCCTGGGATAGCCAGAGTTGGTGGTTACTGACTGTAGATGCTCTTTGTCCACTTCATATGTCATAGTATGTTCTTCAACATCCTGACTCTGGGAGAGTTCCAGAACCCCAAAGCCTAACTGTGATGAGGCAGGATCTAGGAAAAACTTGAAGAAATTAGGTATCATCCCACATTATGCATTGTGCAAGCTGCTGTTCCTCAGTAAAAGAGGGTCATGTTAAGTCCTTCACATCAAAGCTCTGCCCCTCCAAATTTTTCAAAATAAATAATGCATTAAAAGTGAAGGAGGGGCCGGGCGCAGTGGCTCAAGCCTGTAATCCTAGCACTCTGGGAGGCCGAGGCGGGCAGATTGTTTGAGCTCAGGAGTTAGAAACCAGCCTCAGCAAGAGCAAGACCCCATCTCTACTAAAAATGGAAAGAAATTAATCAGACAACTAAAAACATATAGAAAAAATTAGCCGGGCATGGTGGTGCATGCCTGTAGTCCTAGCTACTCAGGAGGCTGAGGCAGAAGGATCACTTGAGTCCAGGAGTTTGAGGTTGCTGTGAGCTAGGCTGACGCAACGGCACTCACTCTAGCCAGGGCAAAAGAGTGAGACTCTGTCTCAAAAAAAAAAAAGTGAAGGAGGAAAATGTGTAATGAAGTAAAAAACTGCACACTATAAAGACTTATAAGCACAGCATTTCACATTGTACTTCTACCTCAAAAAGCACACTATTCCAAAAATATTTGAAAAATAAAGAAAAGGAAGAAAAGTCAATAAGCAGAAAGGGGTCTATCTAATGAGCTACAAATTCCTGAACACTAAATTAGCTGGAAAATTTTATATTACTAGCAAATTTTTTAATGACTCTTAGTTTAACCATGAGAAATCTATAACCTGATAAAGAAGAGAAATTTAGACATCTGCATGCTCACATTAAAGGAACTTAGAACAATCTATCTAATATTCTGAAAAAGTCACAAGGCTACCTTCAGCACCAAAGGAACGTGTGGTATTATCTGCCGTATCTTCTTTCTCTTTCGCCTTCTCTTCCAACTCTTTTTCCTTCTCTTCCCCCACAGCAGGAGCAGATTCCATTGACATTCCCAGAATACTATACAGCAGAAAGATGTGTTCTCAGATAGGACCGGACACATTGCTCAAAGCACTCTGAATTTTACTGTAACTCCCCATACACACCAACCACCTCTTAGCTAAATTTGAAAAGGTAAAAAACTTCACCCTTACAGCACATCTTTCTACAGAAAGCACCTAAAGGTTAATAACTCAAAATAATGTATAAAGTAACACAAAAATTAAACAAAAGGCACAAACATATTTGAATTTTATCTTTCTTGACCAAGGATAGAAAAATCTTGCATTCAAAAGAATTACTGACAAGTGACAAGAGATGTACACTGGATGAGCACGGAAGGGCCTCAAAAAACACTTGGCCAGGTACGGTGGCTCACAGACGTGGATTACGCCTGTAATCGTAGCACTCTGGAAGGCCGTGGCAGGAGGACCGCTTGAGGTCAGGAGTTCAAGATCAGCCTGGGCAACATAGCAAGACCTTGTCTCTATAAAAAATTTTAAAAATTAGGCATGGTGGCATACACCTATGGTCCCCAGCTAACTGGCAGAGGCAGGAGATTCACTGGAGCCCAGGAGTTTGAGGTTGCAGTGAGCTATGATGATGCCACTGCACTCTATCCCAGGCAACAGAATGAGATCCTGTCTCAAAAAAAAAGCCACTTTAAATTGGACAAAGTTCACCAAAGTATTTTACTAAAAAATCTTACATACACATATAAAACCAGAGTGTCCAAACAAAATTCAGGTAAGAGGCAACAAATTAGGAAAAAATATCTGCAACAAATATAACAAAATATTAGTTTCCATAAAATATAAAGAATTCACACAAAGAACACCAACCTATAAATGGACAAATGACAGCACTCAAAAAAAGAAATATAAGCATCTTTAAACATATAAAAAAATCAGAGAAACCATTTGCTGCCAATTAAATCAGAAAACAAAAATTTTTAAATACTGTACCACTATTCAGTGTTACCCAAACTAAGGAGAGATAAGTATCATCATACAATGCTTATGAGAATATAAATAAATGGATCCTCTGAAGAACAATTCGGAAATATGCATAAAAAGCTTTAAAAAATATTCATAGCCACTAATTCCAATTATAAGAAATAATTTTAAATATGGAAAGATCTTTATTTATAGAAATTTACTTCTCAAAGTTTACTCTTATTAAGAAACAACCTATAAGTTCAGCATTAAGGAAATGATCAAATAATTTCATAATCTATTAAATGAAAAGTTACACCACCATATGTGAAATGTATGTGAACCTAGATTGGATCCTGGATCCAATCAATCCATCAACCAATAAAACAATATAAAAGATATCTTTGAAACCACTGAGAAAATCTGAATATGAACTGTAATATTAGGGACTGTGGAATTATTATTTTCTTAAGTGTGACACTTAGGTACCATGATAACATACTTATTCTTAGAGGATGAATGCTGAAGTATTTAAAGGGAAGTATGACAAGGAACTATCATGTTGGCAACCTAGTTTCAAACAACTCAGCCCCTCAAAAAAATATATAATACGTGCATACACACAGAGAGAGAACAAATGTGTGCTATTTTATCTCTTCTGTACTTTTAAAATAAAAAACTAGAGGAAAATGTTAAAAGTTTTAATTGTCCTGGGAAAAATGTTCATGTTGTGAATCAAAAAGGTCAGCAAACATACAAACTTTTACATTCCACATGATGTCAACTATGTAAACCAAATGCACTTAAAAAAGAGGGAAAATATACCAAAATGTTGACAATTAGCCTCTGGGTGGCAGGATTACAGATGCCATTTTTGCTTCCTTGCAGCTTTCTACACATTAACATTTCAGATAAAGAGCATTAAGCATACCTTTAATAAACATAAAAGAGGTGAAAACATTAATTTGCAAAGTTGAGAACTGTGACTCAAGAAAGAGAAAAAGGACTAAGTAAAGATTTTTCACAAAAACAAAATAAATCATCTACATAACTGGGAGGACCAGATACATCCTTGGGAAACACGGGGAAAGAAAGTTCAAGAGCAAATGGACAAAAGGTAGAAGAGAAACAATGAAGGACAGCACAAAACCACACACCTTGGATCCTTCCCAGTCTCTTTTGGTGGTTCTTCCTCATATCCCTGACCTCTAAATGCTAGTGGACTCAGTGAGTCCTTGGACCTCTTCTCCAGCTATATTTACTCCCTTAGTGATCTTATCCAGATTCATGATTTTGAATACTATACATATGCTTATGAGTTTGCTCATTTTTTTTATAAGAAACAGGTATGATTCTATCACCTAAACTGGAGTGCAGTGGCCTGATCACAACTCACTGCAGCCACAAACTCCCAGTCTCAGGGGATATTCCCGCTCCAGCCTCCCAAGTAGCTAGGACTACACAGGCGCCTGCCACCATGCCCAGCTAATTTTTTTTTAGTTTATTTTTTGTAGAGACAGGGGTCTCACTATGTTACCTAGACTGGTCTCGAACTCCTGGCCTCAAGCAATCCTCCCACCTTGACCTCCCAGAGTGCTGGGATTACAAGGATGAGCCACCTCGCCCAGCATGAGTCTGCAATTTAAATCTCCAGCCTAGACCTCTCGCCTGAGCTCTGGACTTGCTCATCCAACTGCCTCCTCAACATGTCCAACTGCCTACTGAAAAGGAAGCTCAAATTTTGAAATGTCGGAAACTGAAATTCTCCTCCTGTAGTCGTCTGTAGTAATTGTTAACTAACAATTACTCCATCCATCTAATTGTTCAAATAAAAAACCTAGAATCAGCCAAGCACAGTGGCACATGCCTGTAGTCCCAGCTACTTGGAAGCTGAGGCAGGAGGATCACTTGAGGCCAGAAGTTTTAGGCCACAGTACCCTGCTATAATTGCACCTGTGAATAGCCACTGAATTCCAGCCTGGGAAACAAAGTGAGACTCCCATGTCTTAAAAAAACAAATCCCACCTAGAATCATTATTTCCTCCTTCTTGCCTCTATTACTCCACATATGATCTATCTAATCCTGTTTTCAAATACTCAGAATCTCACCACTCCTCATCCACTTCAACCCTGGTCCAGCCACTGTCATATTTTGCTAAATTATTTCTAAAGCCTCCTAGTTGGTCTTCCTGCCTCTAACTTTGTTTTCCCTTCAGTCTGTTTTTGTTCCAGCAGCTTGAGTGAGCCTATTAAAAATCTAAATCAGATTATGTCATTCCTCTGTTCAAAATCCTTAAATAAATGCCTTCCTATCTCACTAAGAGTAAAAGCTAAACTTCTCACAATGACCCATAAGGCCTCATATAATCTGGTTCTCTTTTTACCTCTCTGACCTCTTCAAACACTTCTCTCAGTCATTCTACTATAGCCACATTCACCTCCTTGCTATTTCTCAAATATTCCAGGCACACTCACACCTCAGGGCCTTTGCACTTGCCATTCTCTATGCATGGATTGCACTCATCCCAGATAATAGCAGAGACACTCCCTTTAGATTTTTAATCAAATGACACATCAGTGAAGCATTCCCCAGCCACCCTATAAACTTGCAACTCCTCTGATGCTTTCTCTTCCCTTCCCTGCTTTATTTTTCGCTTCAGCCCTTATGAGTATCTAACATACTATGTATTTTATTTATTTATCATGTATTACTGTATCCCATACAAGAATGTAAGCCACATTAAGGTCTAGGATTTTTATTTCTTCTGATCACTTTGCATCCCCAAGCCCAAGAGTGCTTGGCACATAGGAAATACTCAAAAAATATTTGTAGAATGATTAGGTGAATCAAAAGAGGCTTAAAATAAATCAAATTATAGGCAAAAAACAGTACTGATGTTATACTTTTCTCTACTGTCTAAAGCTGATGGAAAAAGAAAACAATGTCTATAGTAGCTTTATTCACAGTAGTCAAAAACTGGAAACAACCCAGATCTCCTTCAACAGATGAATAGTTAAACAAACTGTGGTAGACACATACCATGGAATACCACTCAGCAATGAAAAGGAACAAACTATTGATAGACACAAAAACTTGGATGAGGCCAAGTGCAATGGTTCAAGCCTGTAATCCTAGCACTCTGGGAGGCTGAGGTAGGAGGATCACTTGAGGTCAGGAGTTTGAGACCAGCCTGGACAACATAGCGAGACCCCATCTCTACAAAAAATACAAAAATTAGCTGGGCGTGGTGGCATGTGCCTATAGTCCTAGCTACTTGGGAGGCTGAGGTAGAAGGATCACTTGAGCCCAGGAGTTTGAGATTGCTGTGAGCTCTGATGATGCCACTGCACTCTAGCTGGGTGCAGCTTTTTTTTCTTGTCTCAAAAAAAAAAAAACTTGGATGGATCTCCCAAAAGTTATGCTATGCTCGTTGAAAAAAGCCAATCCCAAAAGGTTACATACCATATAATCCCATTTATATAACATTTTGAAATGACAAAATTTTACAAATAGAGAATGAATTAGTGGTTGCCACAAGGGGTTTAGAGGCAGAAGAGGGAAGTGGGTATAGCAATAAAAGCACAATAAGCATCCTATGGTGTTGGATCTGTTCAGTATCTTAAATGTAGTGCATACACAAACCTACACAGGTTATAAAACTTAATACACACACACAAATAGAAGTAAAATGGGACATGTGAATAAATACAATGGTTTTTATTAATCTCAATACCCTGGTTGTGATAATTTACTATAGCTCTGCAAAATGTTACCATTGGGGGAAACTGGGCAAAGTGTACAAAGGATCTCTCTGTATATTTCTTATAACAGTATGTGACTCTACAATTATCTGAATTTTAAAAATGCTTGATAGGGAAAAAAAAATATCTATATTTCTTTAGTATAATATCTTAGGACACTCCATGTTTAAAACTATCAGCTTACATCAATAGCACACTAGATAAGGCGGGAAGATTTTTTGGAATTTTATGACATAGAAAGTTTCACAGTTTCTTTCAAAACATAGACCTCAATAGATATACATATGAGTTTCCATTCTTTTGAAATGAACCCCAAATTCTTCCTACCCTTATCTTTTTGCACATGCAGGTCACTCTGGAAAACTCCTCCTCTCAAACTGCACACTTCTCCCCAGCCCTTCAACTATATCTAGCAAATTCACATTTATCATGTAGATTACATTCCTCAAAGAGGCATTCCCTTATCCCCTGGATTAGATTATGTATTTTTTTTCTTTTTACAATAATCACAATTATAATTGAATACATATTGATATAATGATTTAACATCTGTCTCCCCTATTAAATTATAAACTCCACAGTGGGAAAGCCCCTTTTTAAAGCATATGCCACAGTACCTGCACACTTATTGAACATAAGCATTCAATTTTTTTTTTAAGAGACTGAGCAACACATTGATGCAAAAAAGGAAAAGGAGCATGGAACTTCTCAAATAGCATTGCTTCATTCACAATGAGGGATATGCATCCTTCCTGTCCTCACTAGTTCAAATCAGGATGTTGAGCCACAAAAACATAGATAAACCTGGCACATGTTCCTAAATAGGTACCATAAACCTATATGCCCACAAAAACCAAAGCAAGATAACACAAATGAGTGAAGCAGCTGAGTGTAAGAACAAAAGAATAAGCACTGTGACAAATTAAAAGGAACACCTGGCTTCAGTGTCCAAGTACAATAGTGAGATGTGATGACTATGGCAAACCACAGATCTCATGCCCCATCTAAGCAAAGGCTGCCTCCTACTCACAGCTCCAGCCAACTGTTGCCAATAAGGACTAGTAATGCCAGAAGCAGGAAATCCAGGTTTTACGAGAAATTTCCCCATTTTTAAATTGTCAATTAATTCAAATATGTTTTACCGCTTATGTAGGCCAAATAAAACCCCTCTGCAGGACAAAATGAGTCCATCAGTTTGCAGATTGTTCTGAAGCATTCATTTTGTTGATTTGGGAGAAAAAAATTGATGGGCAAACAGAGTGTAAAAAAAAAAAATCCATTTATTTTTAAGATAAAACAATAGTCTTCAACCATCTCAAGCCAACACTCTCCTCTTTGACTACCTCCTCTTTCTACCCTGATACCCAGAGACTCCTGAAGTTGTCTACATTCTCCTTTGACCTTAGGAGAACTGGGGCAGAAGACTAAGAAGCACTGACTAGTTAAAAGGAACTCAGGAGGCTGAAGCAGGACTGTTGAAGGCCAGGAGTTCAAGGCTGAAGTGCGCTCTGATCATGACTATAAATAGCCACTGCACTCCAGCCTGAGCAACACAGTGAAACTCTGTCTCTTAAAAAAAAAAAAAAAATTTTTAATTTAAAAAAT